CCCAAAACCCCAAAACCCCAAAACCCCAAAACCCCTATAACAATTCTATTAATTGAAACTTATGAATGAATATTAAATATACTCCCTTTGCTTCAGATCCTCAGGGTCAACATACTTAAATGTAGGATAAGCTTTAGTCTTTGTCACTGTGTCTTTGACCAATAATTCACGTAGAATTTTGTTCATCTTAAAAATGCTCTAAAGGAAAATAAACAGATAAAATATGAGGTTTCCATTCGGATTTCAAACATTTTAAGAACATTCAAAAGAACATAAAAACATTAGGCCTCTACTAGAAAGGATCAGGATCTCATTCTCTAAGACCGTATGAGGCAATACAGGCTCTCACCATCTTACACTTTAAAATCTGTAGAATATTTTTGAAAAGTGGATTGATAGAAACTCACCTTATTTTCTTCTTCCTTCTTTTGTTCAATCTTAGGGTCGCACTTTTTGGAGTCCTTATATTTATGAGGCTTTGATTTCATATAACTTTTAGTAATAACTCTGGTAATTTGTTTGAAGTTTGATAGAATCTGCGACCTCTTCAGATCTTTTTGGTTATCAAAAGTGCTATAATTATTCTTATTGTTGACATATTGCTGAAGGGCTAACTCTCCTGGATCCTTACAACGAGGAACAGAGTCTTTAGTCTTCTTCCTTGAAGCAATAAAAGGAATTCCCATAAACCTTTGTTTGCTATTTAGCCAATCAGAATACTTTTTGTCCTTCTCTTGATCATAGTACTCTCTTCATAGATAAAAATTATTCTCTGACATTTCCTTCCTTGCTTGACTCCAGTTAGAAGGCCTGAAGATATCTTGGCTAGTCCTAGGAATGCTACTTTTATTTAGATTTCCTCTCATAAACTTATGAAGAGTCCTTCTTCGACTGTCTCAGAGAAAAGTCCTGTTAAGAAAAGACATTTCTGAGTTATTATTCTTTCTATACTTCTTGGAATTATCTAAAATCCATTAAACATGGGGCTTACTTATAGACCGCCCCTTTCTCAGTCCTACTTGGAATGGAAGATCAGGATATCTAGCCAATATAAGGTTTTGTTTTGTTATTGGCTCTCGAATAACTGATCTAGGTTTTCTTCCTTGGAGATTCTTAAGTTTTACACAAGAAAAGTACCTGTATAAGGAGTCTCTATTTTCTCAGTATGTCTGATATGCTTTGCTAAGGACTGGGTTCTTGTCATGATCTCGCTATCTCTGTACATAACCTGATTACAGCTCTTTCCGTGAGTATACATTTTCACTAATTTGAAATTTATAAATTTTAATCTAAAGGGGTTTTGGGGTTTTGGGGTTTTGGGGTTTTGGGG